GACTGCCTAAGCGAGCCCAGCGGTCCCCAAGAGGGCCCCGCGAGGCCCCAAGAGGCCCCAAAGAGGCCCCCAAGAGCCTCCCCGAAGGCCCCCAGAGGCCCCCAAGATGCCCAAAAATGGCCCTGAGCGCGCCCCAAGACGCCTCCAGGAGAGCCCCACAGGCCTCCGAGAGGCCCCCAAGAGGCCCACTGGAGGCCCTCAGGAGGTCGTCCTCATCATGTTCCCGGAATGCGGTCCGGGAACATGATCCCGCGCCGTGGAGGAGTATTCTGCGCCTTCCGAGGCGCCTTGGACGACGTACGTATGTTTCTATATATTGTCCTTCTCCTGTGTGCACAATCCTACATGTTTTACGTATGTTTCTATACATATGCATATATGTATGTATGTCTGTCTGTCTGTCTGTCTGTCTGTCTGTCTGTCTGTCTGTCTGTCTGTCTGTCTGTCTGTATGTATGTATGTATGTATGTATGTATGTATGTATGTATGTATGTATGTATGTATGTGTGTATATATATATATATATATGTGTGTGTATGGGGAGGGGGTCCTGGACCAGGCGGGGGCCTCACTTTGCCCAGTGGTTGTGGTCACCCCCCCGCCGGAGACGCCAGGACGCTCCCAGGACCCTCTAAAATGGCTCCAGGACGCCCTCAGGACAGCCCAAGAGAGGTCCGAAGCGGCCCGGGAGCACTCCAAGACTGTTAAAAAGCTGCCAAAGCGTCCCAGCAGGTCTCCGACAGCACTCTCGGGAGGGGCCCATAAGGAAATGGTCACTGATTTTTAGTGGGTTTTGAAGGGTTTTGGCGTTCTCCCCAGGTCGGCTTCCAGACGCTCCAAGGCGGCCCAAGAGGCCCGAAAGATCGCCTCAAGACGAGCCCAGAGGCCCCCAAGAGACCACCGAGACAGCCCAAGAGGGCCCCAAGACGGCCCAGGAAGCTTCCAAGACGGCCCAAAAGAGCTCCCAGAACATTCCAAGAGGAGCCCCAGATGGGGAACACGAACTGACATTTCGAGCCCTCGCCCACCAGAAGCTCCCAAGAGGCCCCCATGAGTCCGCAAGAGGCCTCGAGAGGCCCCAGGAAGCTCCAAGAGGCCTCCAAAAGGCGCCGAAAGGGCCCCGCAAGGCTTCCAGACGCTGGTGATAATGACAATGATGATTATGCAGGGCGGCCTCAGGCCCACAACCTAAATCCCCAATACTGCTCACGCGGCATGCAAGACGCTGCGGAGATATCCTCGAGTTCGGCGGGGGAGCTTCGGAGACGATGGTGACGAAAATGATGACGATGATGACGACTATTATGAAGTTGACGACGACGATGATGATGATGATGATGATGATGATGATGATGATGATGAGGAAGAAGATTATGATGATGTTGACAGTGGGAATGATGATGATGCTGATGATGCTGATGATGTTGATGATGGTGATCGTGATGTGAGTGATGGTGATGATGATGATGATGGTGGTGGTGATGCTGACGATCATGATGACGATGACGGTGATGCCGTTGAGGATGGTGATGCTGACGATCATTATGATGATGCTGCTGATGGTCAGGATGAGAACGCCGATGCTGATAATAATGGTGGCGATGCTGTTTATGGTGCTTGCGATGCAGGAGTGGGCGGGTGATGAAGATGATGACGATGATGATGACGATAACGATGACGACGATCACGACGACGACGACGATAATGATGACGATGGCGATGATGAGGATGATTATGTTGATAATTCAGGTGACGATATTGACCATGATGACGACGATGGCGATGATGACGATGGTGATGACGATGTTGCTGCTGATGGTGGTGATGGTGACGATTGTGATGATGGTGATGGTCATGGTGATGATGACGATGCCGCTGACGATGACGCCGGATATGATGGTGATGAGGATGGCGATGATGACGATGACGATTATCCTAGCTAGAACTTGAGCGCGCGCGAAGCGCGCGCGATGGTTCTAGTATATATATATGAATATAAGTATACATGGATTGCACAACATACGTTGCATCACATGTGTTGCACAATATATTCTGCACAGCATAGATGGCGCAACATAGATTACACTACACATATATAGCACCACATGGATTGCGCCACGTACGTTGTATCACATAATTTGCACCACGTACACTGCTGCACACAGATAGCACCACATATATATGTATATATACTGCCAGAAACACATTGTTTGGGGTCCACGCTGGCTCGCATATCGTTCGTGTAATCTGCTTGTATCCGTTTAGCATGTGATGACGTGGTGTGGGAAGGACGTGATTATCTCCATCTCTCTCTCTCTCTCGTTCTCCCTCCCTCCCTGCTTGTGCCTGCTGGCCCACCTCTGTCCCTCCCTCTTCGGGCGAGTCTCCTCCTCCCTCTCCTCCTCCTCCTCATCCTCCCCAGCCACCCTCTCCAGCAATCCTCCTCGCTCCTCCCATCCTCCTCCTCCTCCTCCTCCTCCTCCTCCTCCTCCTCCTCCTCCTCCTCCTCCTCACCCATCCTCCTCCCCATCTGGTCGACGGCACGGGGCCGCCCATGGCGGGCTGGCTCGTGGGGCGTCCCCCCTGGGCTCGCCAGGGCGTTTTCCAGCCTCGCACCGCGGTGTGCCGGCCGCGCCGCGTGGAAAGGGCGCAGTCGCGGCACCTCTGCACACCAAGCCTCCAGCAACCTGGTTTCTTCGGTGCGTCGGCCCTGGAGCTCGCCGCCCCATCCGCGGGGCCAGAACCTTCGCGCACGGGGCTGGGCCTCGACGGTCCCAGGTCCGAGGCGTTGTTTTGCACTGTTCCCAACCATCCCGTGGTGTTGGGTCCTCGTTTTGAAGAGACAGCGCCCCGCATCACTCACTCCTCTCCTCCTCCCCCTCCCCCCTCCTCCCCCTCTTTGCCTCTGCCCTCCGCATGTCTTCATTGTCGTCATTTGGTTGCATGCAGTTCCACTTAGATTCCTGCGCACCCCTCACACGTTTCGTGGCCCCATAGGGAGCTCCACCGAAGGCCCCATTGGGAAAGTTCGCATGCAGTTCCACCCTCCATTTCGGCGTACCCCTCACACGTTTCGTGGCCCCATAGGGAGCTCCACCGCAGGCCCCAGTGGGAAAGTTCGCATGCAGTTCCACCCCGCATTTCGGCGTACCCATCACACGGTTCGTGGCCCCATAGGGAGCCCCACCGTAGGCCCCAGTGGGAAAGTTCGTATGCAGTTCCACCCCCCGTTTCGGCATACCCCTCACACGGTTCGTAGCCCCATTGGGAGCTCCACCGAAGGCCCCAGTGGTTGAAAGTTCGCATGCGGTTCCACCCTCCATGTCGGCGCACCCCTCACACGTTTCGTGGCCACATAGGGAGCTCTACGTAAGGCCACAGTGGGAAAGTTCGCATGTAGTTCCACCCCCTTATTGTAATAGCTTCCGACCAGTGCCGCCGATCCAGGGGGCTTCGGATTCGGTGATCTTCGCGGCTCTGTGGCCTCCTCCCTCCTCGATTCTGTCGGTCTTCTTTCTTCTCCTCTGGGGGAGTGCCTGGAGCGGTCCAGGGGGGGGGGGGTCGGGGAGGGTTCCAAGGGGAAGGTCTTGGGAGCGGTAGCGGCTAGATCTGAGGGGGGTCCCTGGGACCCCCCGAAACATTTTGGGGATGCGCAAATCATTCAGTCAACGCCAGATGGGGGACCGCCCCTCCCCCCCCTCCCCCCCTTCCCGGGGGGGGGGTCCGGATGCGCAAATCATGAAAAAGCCAGGTGGTGGACCCCTCCCTTCCCCCCTTCCTCGGCAGAGCCACCCTGGCGACCCCCCCAAAGCAGAGCTGAAGCTCTTGCTTAGGCTCAGAGCTCAAGCTCTTGCTGAGGCTCCTTGTAGCTCACACGCCGGATCGGCGGATTTCGGCATACTCCTCACATGGTTGGTGGCCCAGTAGGGAGCCCAACTGCAGACCCCAGTGGGGGAGTTCGCATGCAGTTCCACCCCCCATTTCGGCGCATCCATCACTCGTTTCGTGGCCCCATAGGGAGCACCACATAAGGCTCCAGTGGGAAAGTTTGCATGCCGTTCCACCCCCCATTTCGGCGCACCCCTCACACGTTTCGTGGCCCCATAGGGAGCTCCCCCGAAGGCCCCAATGGGAAAGTTCGCACGCAGTTCCGGCCCCCATTTCGGCGTACCCCTCACACCGTTCGTGGCCCCATGGTGAACTCCACCCAAGGCCCCAGCAGGAAAGTTCGTATGCAGCTCCACCCCCCGTTTCGGTCACACGGTTCGTGGCCCCATAGGGAGCCGAAGGCCCCAATGGGAAAGTCCCCATGCAGTTCCGCCCTCCGTTTCGGCGCACCCCTCACACAGTTCGTGTCCCCATAGGGAGTTCCACCTAAGGCCCAAGTGGGAAGTTCGCATGCGTTGCCCTCCCCCCGTACAGCGCTTCGTGGCCCCATAGGGAGCTCCACCGAAGGCCTCGGTGGCGGTGTTCGCATGCGTTTCACCCGCCCAGAACAGCGCTTCGTGGCCCCATAGGGAGCTCCACCGACGCGTCACCCCCCACCCAGTACAGCGCTTCGTGGCCTCACGGGGAGCTCCACTGAGGCCCCAGTGGCGGCCCCGCCCCATGTCGGCGCACCCTCCGCACGCTTCGCGGCACCATAGTGGGTCCCACCAGAAGCCCCAGTGGCAGCGCCCACATGGCGGCCCCGCCCCATGTCGGCACACCCTCCGCATGCTTCGACCCTCTACCTTCCGCCCCTCCCGACGCGGCCGCGGCGGCCACCGCCGCAGCCTCGGCGTCCCCCGCCGCTGCGGCTGCGGAGACGGCCGCCGCGGCGCGGCACCTGCCGCGCGGAAAGTGCGGAAGGTGGCACCGCTCGGGCGCGCGCGCGTGTGTGTGTGTGTGTGTGTGTGTGTGTGTGTGTGTGTGTGTGTGCGCGCGCGTGTGTGTGTGTGTGTGTGTGTGTGTGTGTGTGTGTGTGCGTGTGTGTGCGTGTGTGTGTGGTGTGTGTGTATGTACGTGTGTACGTGTGTACGTGTGTACGTGTGTACGTGTGTACGTGTGTACGTGTGTACGTGTGTACGTGTGTACGTGTGTACGTGTGTACGTGTGTACGTGTGTACGTGTGCACGTGTGTACGTGTGTACGTGTGTGCGTGCGTGCGTGCGTGCGTGCGTGCGTGCGTGCGTGCGTGCGTGCGTGCGTGCGTGCGTGCGTGCGTGCGTGCGTGTGTGTGTGTGTGTGTGTGTGTGTGTGTGTGTGTGTGTGCGTGGGTGTGTGTGGGTGTGCGTGCGTGCGTGCGTGCGTGCGTGCGTGCGCGTGTGTGTGTGTGTGTTGTGGTGTGTGTGTGTGGTGGGGGGTGGGGTGGGGGGTGGGGGTCTGGGTGTGGATATGTGTGTGTGCTTGTTTGTTTGTTGGTGTGTTTGTTTGCTTGTGTTTGTTGTTATGTGTGTGTTCTCGGCGAGGACCATCGAGGAGCACCTGGGACCATCTAGCAAAAAAGAACACGGGACACCGAACATTGCATGGGCCATGGGCGTTGGAGCGATGGCGATGGGGAGGCTCAGCGCAGGATGGGCTGGACCACCCCGCCATCCCCGTGCCACTCTCCGCCCGCTGGTGGACGACTGGCCCCCAACGCTCCCCGCTCCACAGCCCAGTACCCGGCAAGCATACGCTCCACAGCCCACTACCTAACAAGCATACCCTACTACCAATCAACCGCCAGCTGACCTTGTCGGCATTAGCGAGAAACGGCATTTACATGACAGAGCCAGCGTCTTCATTCACATCGGATCTGGACAGTGCTAGAGGGCGGTGCTGTTTCCTTCGAGCGATTCTGGTCCACACGTTGCACTTTGCTGCACCTGAACGCGGACGTCCTATTTAGGATCTGAGCTGGGACGAAAAAAACGGGAGGGAGGAGGAGGAGGAGGAGGAGGAGGAGGAGGAGGAGGAGGAGGAAGGAGGAGAGATGAAGGAGGAGAGATGGAGAAGGAGGATGATGATATGATGATGATGAGATGATGATGATGATGATGATGAGGAGGAGGAGGAGGAGGAGGGAGGAGGAGGAGGAGGAGGAGGAGGAGGAGGAGGGAGGAATAATGAAATAGGAGGAGGAGGAGGAGGAGGAGGAGGGGAGGAGAAGGAGGAGAAGAGGAGGAGGAGGAGGAGGAGGAGGAGGAGGAGGAGGAGGAGGAGGAGGAGGAGGGACGAGGAGGAGAAGCGATGGAGGAGCGATGGACGAATAGGAGGAGGAGGAGGAGGGGGAAGAGGAGGAGGAGGAAGGAGAGCTGGAAGGAGGAGGAGAAGGAGAAGGAGGAGGAAGGAGGGAGGAGGAGGAGGAGGAGGAGGAGCAGCAGCAGGCAGGGAGGAGGAGGAGGAGAGGAGGAGGAGGAGGAGGAGGAGGAGGAGGAGGAGGAGGAGGAGCAGGAGGAGCAGGAGGAGCAGGAGGAGGAGGAAGAGGAGGAGGATGAGGAAGAGGAAAGGGAGGAGGAGGAGAAGGAGGAGGAGGAGGAGGAGGAGGAGGAGGAGGGAAGGGAGGAGAAGGAAAGAGGAGGAGGAGGAGGAGGAGGAGGAGGAGGAGGAGGAAAGGGGTCTCTTAACCCGGGCTGGCGCCTCTCCCCCTACCTCCGCGCCGCCCTCCGTTCGGCTACCCTCTCGCAATGGGCAGGGACCGGGTCCCGCTGCTGCAGCGCCTCGAGGAGTTGGAGGAGCAGGAGGAAGGTGAACGGCCCGCGAGGCACCTACTGAAGGCGGCACGGGCGCGAAGGACCCTTAGGGTCGCTGCAACGAAGGCAGCGTGGAGCGCCACGCTCGCTGCCTTCCTGTGGATTGCGGCTGACAGCCAGCCAGGAGTGGAGCCGTGGGAAGTGGTCGCCGCCAGGATCTACAGCAAGGACGGCATCCCCTTCCTCACGGCTATCCAGCACCCGCTCGCCACCCTCGGGGGTTCCCCGTACACGCTGTGGGACGCGTACCATGGATCCTCCATCCACCCCGTATCACCCCATCCTGAAGGACCATGGCGACATGTGCAATGCAGCGGGAAGGCGAACCCTGCAGGGCCGGGGAGATGACGACGCCGCGGGTGGTCGCCCTCATCCTCGTCGCATTCATGAGGCACTCGGGGTTCGCTGGGTGGGTGGCGGAGCGGGCCCATTGGCTCACGACCCCCGCGGCCCTGATCGACTTGCGCGGGGAGTGCAAGCAGCAGCATAGTCCCAAAGGCCGCCGCTTCCTGCCCGCGCGACGCATCACAGCGAAGCGGGACCTCCGCTACAACACTGACCTCTCGGGCTACCCTGTCGGACGTGATAGGGGCGGCGGGCCACTACTTGTACGACGCCCCCCAGCTGGCACAGCTGCGCGCCGGCTGCCCTGGACGGCGGATCACGGCGGACGCCGTCTCTGAGCTGCTCGAAGCCACGCGCTTCGTGCGCGGCTGCAACCTGATGGCGCCCCACGTGGTGGGGCACTTCCAGAGCTGGGGCCTGCGAGCAGACCACGGTATCGGCCGGGAACCGGAAGGTCGCGATGGCCCCAATAACACGCGCAAGTACAAGCAAGCGGTGCCCACCCCCAGCCTGGACTTGGTGCACAAACACTGGGACTTCCTGGAAGAGCAGGGCGCCCTCGCCCCCTGGCAAGTCGTCGAGATGAAGCGCATCCCGGCTCACGTCTGGCCCGGAGCCCAGTGCAAAGTCGTGTGCGCGATCGGCAACTTCATCCATGTGGTAGCCTCGTCAGATTGGCGGCAAGAGCAGATCCCAGTACTCCAT